ATGTCAAGAGACAAAAATGTTCAGGACACATTTCTCTATCTGCTCTGATAATTTGAGAAAAATCTGTGACAGTTCATTGAGCACGCTATGCTGGAAAAGTGCGTTTCTATCGTGCACTGCCTCTTATAGACCTGACCCATATTTACTCTTGAAGAAATCAACGTTTCACTTGGCTTTTTTCCGAACGTTTTCACTTCGTCTGATGATTGATAAGCGAGAAAAGAATTTTTTTAATTTCGTCCTTAATGTCTTGAATGTTAGCTCATTCATATCAGTATGTGTCATAAAACAGATAAAAGAGGTAGAAATGGTTATAATATATAACACCATGTGCGACAAAAGACATGTCTTATTACGTTCGATAATAATAAAAGTTCATGGAGTCATCAAAGCCGCCAAGAATAAAAAACGATGGGCATCAGTCATTTGTTAGTGGTAGCACTGTTGAGCAACAACAGTATGCTCGACATTTTGCTAATCAAATTGTACCAGATATTGATGTAATGATTGTAGAAGGTTGTATTCATAATCCACAAACCATAATGCCAACATCTGTACCAGGTTTTGTTCAAATTCAATTTGATGGTGTTGAACGTTTAGGCGGATTATCTTTATTTGAAGTAAAATATAACTCGGATGGTATAGCATGTTTAAATGGTTTAAAAATGAAACAAAATCTAACAAAAACAGAAGAATCCCACATGGTGGCACTAAATGCAGCGACAATCACTGGTGAAACTAATTCGGAATCTGCAAGTGCAGCTAGAACAGTAGTTACGAATACAATCAATATTGACCAAATATTTATGGAAATATTAGATGTAATTGAAATACAACAACAAGCGTTCAATTTTGTGGAAATGAAAAACAAATATAAGTTATTTGGTCCAAAACTTCAAGAATTTACATTAACAAAAGTATTTCCAGTTTATGAACCAGTGATTGAAAAGGGTGATGAATATCATCATCATCATCATCATCATTCGGCTGCGAACAGTCTGGGTTTGCAGGCGACAATAATCTTAGACCAATTCTCTCTGTTGGCGGCAGCTTTTCTCATTTCGTCGACCGATGGCTGAGTATCGTT